ATAAAACCAAAGTATTTAGCACTGAATTTCCAAATCTGTCCCATTTGAATTATTGTTAAGTCAGTGCCAGCCTTCGCTATAGTTTTCTTCTGACAGTATCATATTGATGTCATCCCACTGAATATCCATATGAATAACAGTATGAGAGACATAAAAAGATATAAGAAAGAGGTAAATGAAAATAAATGCCCATTATTAACAGTGCAATTTATACCTGTGGTCTACTAGCAGAGTTTTTTTGTTTTTTTTTTTAAGATTATTGTTTTTTAAAATGGATTTTTAAAATATCTAATTATTTTAACCAGATGTTATTCTAAGTACATTCTTGAATATAATGTCAGTACAGATAAAAAGGTTTTGTTAAACAAATAATGGCTCCTTACAAGCACTGCAAATTGATGGCAAATTAAGCAACTTCTCAGAATCAGATTTGTATGCTTTGTGTGTATGTGTTTTATATAAAATAATAAATTCAATAACCCTAACATTTCATAGAAAACGTCAAAATCCATCAGCCAGATGGAATATGATATTTATCTCCATATCTGTAAAAATAGCATTTATTTAACCTACGAAACAATTTTATCTCTGATTTTATCTCCTACCATTAATATAATTCTCTATATTTTAGAAATGTAAGGTATTATTATTATATTAAAGGTTTCAGAAATAAAGCCTCATTGTCAGTATAATAAACAAATACATTAAGAGGAGAGAAAAGGGAGATATGTCTATTATCTGAATTATTATAATAGACATTCAATGGTTTTATTCTAGATGAACTCTAAGTGGGCAAGACTGAAGAATAAAAACTTTAAGAATCATGAAGTTGCAAAAACAAGTAAAAAAGATTTCCAAGACATACAATTTTACTGTATTGAGCTTAATAATAATTTAAAGAAAATAGTTAACAATATTTCTCTGATTTCTGGCTAGTTCCACTGTATTATAGGCTGTGGACTATACATTTTCATACTTGAAAAAATCAGTGTAGTACATAAGAAGGTGACACTGCAAACAAACAAACTTGAGACAGCAGAGATGTGTGAAAAAAAGATGCACGTGGTGAGCAGGGAGTGGGAAATGTCATATTAAATAAAATAAAAGCAGGCCGGGCATGGTGGCTCACACCTGTAATCCTAGCACTTTGGCAGGCCAAGGCTGGCGGATCATCTGAGGTTGGGAGTTCGAGATCAGCCTGAAAAACATGGAGAAACCCCATCTCTACTTAAAAAATACAAAATTAGCCAGGCATGGTGGTGCATGACTGTAATCTCAGCTACTCGGCTACTCCGGAGTCTGAGTCAGGAGAATCGCTTGAACCCGGGAGGCAGAGGTTGTGGTGAGCCAACATCGTGCCATTACACTCCAGCCTGGGCAACAAGAGTGAAACTCCGTCTCAAAAACAAAACAAAATAAAAGCAATGCACAACAGCAGGAGAAACTGGAACAAAGACAGTCTCGATGATAAGAAACAAGATATATAATTCTATATACAGAAATCCTTTGAGTTGCATAAAAATTAATGGCTTATATTTTCATTGTGATGCCTTGATTAAACCCCGATGGAAACAATCTCGTTCACTTCAATTTTTCAAGTAAACACCATGGCTCAGTACTGGTTCTCTTTTCAGTATCTGCTTCTTCAGTGGGCAAAACAGCACTGTATAGATGTTGGACTGCGTGAATTCCGAAAAAGTAGAAGTTAAACATTTTTTACACGTATTCTGAAGGCTTCTCTGTGGACAATTTATTTAAAATGTACAACAAGACACTAAAATGTGTTATGCCTGCCTGTGAAATAATTGAAATAATGAAATTTTCTCTATCTTTTCCTCTTTATTTTCCATCTACCCTCCCTTTTCTCTATATCTGTTTTGCTTCTCTTTGTGTTGGAAAAAGTGATAATTGCAAAACTGAACTGTTATTAAGGCTTGTTTTAAATCAGTGCCTGGGAAATAAATTAGCCCCTAGTCTCACACAGTAATAATGTCAGTAAATGAGAGCTTCCAGTTATGGTGCAGGAAATTAAAGCAATGATGGCCAAAGCTTTAACAAAGTCACAAGAGACTACATATTATTGATTCTAAGAAAAGATAGATTTCTACTATCCAAAAAATGACATCTGTCTCAAAGTAAATGACTAAAACACAAACCAAACAAATTGAATGAGTTCAGTAACAGGACAATTTCCAAATACCTAAGGAGAAAAAAAATAATGTAAAAGAAAAATATAATTTGGAATTTCAAGAGAGCAAAATGGAGCTACTTAGCAACAATATTTGAAATAGTATAAGGTCACAGATAACTGTATTACTCAATTTCGTGGTAGAAAATGCATTGAGAAAAATGTAAAGTCCCATGATCTAGGTGAAATGACTGCTAGGGGCTTTCTTTTTTGTTTTGATGAAAATATTCTAAAATTAGACAATAGTGATGCGTACATAATACCATGAACATCCTAAAAACAACTGAAGTGTATGCTTTAAAAGACTGAATTTTGTTATATGAATATATCAAAGATATTATTTAAAAAAACAAATAAATCTGTATCAATCTAACACCCCTCCCCTAAGATATCTTTAGGGACAACCTCAGATAATGTGTTTTGTTTGTTTGTTTTTTGTGTTTTTTTTGCTAATCCTAGTCTGTATCACAGATGTCACTGGAATCAACAGAAAAAAATCACAGACTTGATTACAATTCACAAAGGTGAGATTAAAAAAATAATAGTTATTGGCATATTTAGACAAATAGTTTTATACAGCCTGTCAGTGTACTCAAGACAAAGACTAGACAAATGGTTTTATACAGCCTGTCACTGTACTCAAGACAAAGACTCAACGTGAATAAGTCTTCTTTTAATTGTAGTGTTGGTGCCTAAAATAGCATAGTTCACATATGCTGTTTTAACTATGCTCCCAATAATTCTGGCGTCCTCTTCTTGTCGTTCCCTTTTTATGAATCCTCACTTCTGAGAAGCAAGCTGTTTTACTGCCAGCATGTTCAGACTGCTGATTGCCGGTGGAAAGTCATGAAATTTGGCTTATTAACTTCTGTACAAATTGAAGTTATCTAACCTCATCTGAGCCTTCACTGCTGCTTGAAAATCTTTTTATTAATATCTAATTGGCTCCTTAGCACATTTTTCATAGTCTTCATTTCAAAGCTTTTCAAATCCGTTCTCTTGACATGACCTCACCTATTCACTCAATAGAAATCAGCATCTTTTACTTGATGGAAAAGTTCCTCTGCTTCAAAATGTACCTTGCCTGTCCTTTTCTTCACACTCATCTCAAAAAAGTGAGGTCATTTTACAGTTTCAAAAAAAAAAAAAAATTCCTAGTTTATTTGAAATAACCTGACTTGGTTTATCTCACATCTGCTACCAAGTAACTCTATAACCACAGGCAATGCAATTAATTAATCTAGTATTTTATTTTCTCACCTGTAAAATTAGTGCCATGGACTTTGCAAATTCTAAGACCACTTTTATTAATAAATCAAGAGTTTCCTAATCTTGTGTTGAATCTTGTGTCATTCTAACCCCCAAGACTTTTCACTTTCATTTGGCCCATATGTACCATAAGGAATTTTCTCTCTACGAATCTCCTCCTATTAATTTGATTCTTCTCACCCTAGATATGCTTAAGACTTCATACTTAAAATCTTCCTTCATGATTATCACATAAGTTAATATTTTCACTATTTTTCAATCAACTTACTTCCAGGTGTACATAACACTATTACTACTGACTTATCTCTTCACACCTCCCAATTTGACTTCTGCTTCCAGTACTTTGCAAAAATGGCTGTTGCACTACTTGGGAGGCTGAGGCAGGTGGATCACTTGAGCCCAGAAGATCCAGCAGCCCAGGCAACATAGAGACCCCGCCTCTTAAAAAAAAAAAAAAAGACTTGTTTTAGAGGTCAAATGGTTTTTTTTGTTTGTTTTTGTTTTTTACTTAAGTTAATTTTGACATAAAACACCACTGATGGTGGTTTTTTGTTTTAGTTTTGTTTTGCTTCTTAGAGATGAGTTCTCACTCTGTCATCCAGGCTGGAGTAAGGTGGCATGGTCACAGTTCTCTGTAATCTCAAAGGCTGGGCTCAGGCGATTCCCCTGCCTCAGCATCCTAAGTAGTCTTATAGACATGCACCACTGTGTCTGGTCACTGATGGTGTTTTGAAACACCATCTTGAGACTTTCTTCTCTCTTGCCTTGAATCTGAACCTCATGGTAATCTTTCCAAGCCTCTGCTTACCTCTTCTTTTTCTCTACTTGTAATTTTTCTCCTGAGGCTATGTTCTAAATATGATTATTCATCAGAGGTCTATCTTGGTTTACTTTCTAATCTTCTCATAAAACTTTGATTTACTCTGGAGATCTCAACTGTTATATGCATGTAGATTACAAACATATTTTTCTCTGAACTCCATGCTAATATGCTTCACATCTTGATAGGTATGTCTTAGCAATTTAAAGCTATGTTGAAAGCAAAATTCATCACTCTACATCAATGTCTACCCAGGAAAAAAGGGGAAAAAACACAGGCTGCCCCTGCTCCTATACTTTCTGTTGATGACATAAAAAGGCTTTCCAGTGACTTGAACTGACCTGTCAGGAAGAAGAGAAGCCAGCAATGTCAGGGACTGCATGATCCTATACTAGCAAACAGCTCTTTATACAGCTAGTTCTTCCTTTGACTAATGTCTTAATGTTCTGAAGGAAAATAAAATTATGATCTCTTCCTAATTACACAAGGTTATGATGTGGATGTGGAAAAATTATACTGTTTTAAAACAGCATCATGGTAAGTCTCAAGGTATCTTTTTCTTTTTACATTGTAACCAAAGTATAACCATGGATTGAATTATACACATTTGCTGCTCAGTTTCTTCATTTATTGCTGTGAGGTAATATAAAGACCTTAGTTTCCAAGAAAATCCAACACTTTTATTTCACCTAGATTTAAAAAGAAAGAAAACAATAAACTTACACTTTATCTGTTCCATAACTCCTGTAGTCTACTGCAGCTGACACAGCCACAATGAGTGCAGGCATCCCATAGCCGACCAGATAAAAGTATTTCCTACGTGAATGTTCACTCTCAAAAACCTCCACCAGCATGATATAAAGCTGCACCCCCTCCAGGAACATCCAAGTGAAGGCAGCCAAGAAGAAGAAATGTAAGAGGGCAGCGAAAACAGCACAGGCAATCTAGGAAAAGGAATAAATGATTTAGTCAAATCACTACCACATGGGATACTGGTCAACTGCCATAAAACCAAATTAAATATTTACCGAAACTGCATTACAATAGGTCTGCAAAATAATCATCTAGGGAAGATTCTTAAAACACAGATATTAAAACTAACATACTTAAATATAATCTACCTTTGAAAATGGCCTTTAACATTAATAATGGCTTATGGATGATAACATATCATCAGAATAAAAAAAAATACTTAGGAAAAATTCTAATAAGAGTCTATGAATAACTATTCCTGAGAGATGAGCATAAATATTTTAAAATAGATTTTAAGAATTTTTTCTCTTGGCCATAATCATGAGTTAGAGTTAGAGTTAGAACATACTAACCGAGTAAGTTCTTCAATAGTCAATGAACGAGAAACATTAAAACTAAGGGGAAAATTAAATAGTGTAGTTAATTGCAGTCTTTTCATGATGAGATTATTACTGTTTGTTTGTTTCATGATGAAATTTATTAGTAATTGTTTATTTCTCCCTGCCTGGTATCAAAAAGGATTTAAGGTGGTGGTGGAAAATTCATGGTGAACGCGAATAAAAATGGATCTACTTAAATGTTCCCAAACTGCTTTCTTTCTTTGATTTTTTTGTTATTGTACTAAATATTGGTTTAGACAAGCTTGGTCAAAAAAGGCAGCCAGTTCTCATTTTTGTATATTTTCTAAAGTACTACAATTTTCAGCTGACCAACTATCAATTTCTTACCCTTATGTCAGTTCCTGAATTCTCATTTCTTTGAGTTCTTGTTCCTTATAGGAAGCCCTGATTAAAATCTATAACTGCTACTGGAAAAGGGCAACAAACTTACAGAAGTTATCAGAGTAACAGAAATTCATTGGTGAGTATAATCTCTATGAAATGAGACAAAAGGGCAGGTGAAATTTTGGGTTACAAAGATGACAATGAAGGAGAGATCAGGAAGTCTTACATCTGGAGGAGCTAGAAAGAAAGCTGGTCCTAAACACTACGTGGAGTGCAGAAAAGGACACCTCGCTAGCAAGGAGAGTAAAGACAAGTTTTGCTGAGCTGCACTCTACCCATGTTTTTCATATCAATCATTGTTCTCTATATTACTTGTTAGAAATGAGTTTTGTGTAGTCTGCAATATTTGGCGAAGTTTTTCATACCATATGTAACATCAGGAAACAAAAATAAGAATAAGGTTTCTAAATGAAAAGAAATCACACAGCATTTGAATTGCAAGCTAACAAGAGAATAAAATGATATATTCTTGGAAAATAACACAATTTTCCATTTCTTGCTTTTTTTGAGTTGGAACTTCAACTATTAATTTTTGTTATCATAAGGCTTTACTTTTTTGGGGAAAGAAATGTGTACTTTGATTGCTTATTCATAGGTATGCATTTATGGGGAAAGCTGTCACATTAGTATATGATACCCAATTAAAAATATAATCACCATAATTGTACCCTTTACAGTCATTAATCATGAATGTGTAATCACAAACATGAATCCAACTGCATTTTTATTGTAAAGTACTCCATACATATGGACACATACCAGAAAACAGCATTAAGTAAACGAACTATTTATTATGCTCAAAAGTCTTCTACAAAATGAAACTTTTCTGCTCATTTGCAATTTTACTCATGATAAAAAACTTGTATCATGTGCATAAATCTTAAGTAAACTGAAACTGGCTCACAAAAATTATAAGTGGGCATAAAGTCTGTGTAATATTAAGATACTGTCTATTATTTACATTTTCTGTTTGGTTTTACCAACAGTTGGCTAGTGCTGTTCTTTTTTTTTCTTTTCTTTCCCTTTTTCTCTTCCTCCTTTCCTTGATACGAGTAAATGTAGGGTGCAATAACGTGTAAGGTTAGCACTTAAAGACATGACCAGAACTCATCCAAATATAAAGTGCCAAACAAAAATTGGGAAGAGTTTACATATACTAAAAATGATTTGCAGGTTGTACTATTTTCCAAAATACATCAATTAGAAAAACTTATTTTAGACCTGCAGATTTAAATATAATATTGGCTATTTTTAAGGCATATTACAAACTTTAAAACATTATTCTATTAATTGGAAAAAAAGATATTCTTTCATTTTCTAAATAATTTTACCAAAGTTTCCTCAATATTGAGCCCTGTGGTTAAAACAAAAGAAAAAAAATGACAATATGTAGTTCCTTAGAAAAACAAGTTTATGAAATAATTTCTGAAGAAATGTACATCTCCCCTTCATTGCTAATGGGAACACAAAATGGTACAGCCACTTTGGAAGACAATTTGTCAGTTTCTTTAAAGTTAAATATACTCTTACCATGTGATCCACAAATTGTGCTCCCTGGTTTCACCCAAAGGAGTTAAAAACAGGTCCACACAAAAACCTGCATATAAATGTTTATAGCAGCTTTCTTTGTAATTGACAAAAGCATAACTGACATCTTGGAACTAATATCTCATCAGACAATGAGATACTATTTAGCACTAAAAAGAAATAAGCTATCAAGTCACAAAAATGCATGGAGGAAATTCAAATATATATGACAATTTGAGAGAAGCCAAGTCCAGGCATGGTGCTTCACATCTGTAATCCCAGCACTTTGGGAGGCTGAGACAGGTGGGTTGATTGAGTCCAGGATTTTGAGATCAGCTTGAACAACATGGTCAAACCCTGTCTACTAAAAATAGAAAAAATTAGCTGGGCATGGTGGCAAATGCCTGTAGTCCCAGCTACTCCAGAGGCTGTGGTGGGAGGATCGCTTGAGCCTGGGAGGTGGAGACTGCAGTGAGCCAGGATCATACCACTGCACTCCGGCTTGAGTGACAGAGTGAGACTTTGTGTCAAAAAAGAAAAGAAAGAAAAATGAAAGAAAGAAAGAAAGAAAGAAAGAAAGAGAGAGAGAGAAAGGAAGGAAGGAAGGAAGGAAGGAAGGAAGGAAGGAAGGGAAGGAAGGAAGGAAAGAAAGAGAGAGACCAATCTGAAAAAGCTACATACTAAATGATTCCAATCATATGACATTCTGAAAAGTCAAAACAATGGAGATAGTAAAAAAGAAAAATAGTGGTTACCAGAGATTAGTGGGAAAGGAGAGATTAAACAGAGGAAGCACAGAGGATTTTCAAGGCAGTGAAGAAAACTCAAACCCAGAGAATGTACAATACCTAGAGTGAAACCTAAGGTAAACTACGGAATTTGGGCGATAATGATGTGTTGATGTAGGTTCATCTGTTGTCACAAGTGTACCTCTCTGGTGGGGGATGTTAATAATGAAGGACACTATGCATGTGTAGGAGCAGGGAATAGATGGGAAATGTCTGTAGCTTCTGCTCAATTTTGCTGTAAAGCAATAACTGCTCTAAAAAACAAAAGTCTATTTAAAAATGTAATATACACCTTATTCATAAAGTTTGCTGCTTATTTATGATGATGGGATATGAAAAATGGAAAACTGAGTAAGGCCTGAAAATTAGTATCTATCTTAGATGACTACAAGAAATGATACTTTCAAACTAAGTAGTTTTAGTATTGGCAGTACTGAAAAGCTGGAAGTGGAAAAATTCTTCACTGGTATCAATGTAGGTTGCTTACTGGTTGGTCGGTTCGGTTGATCCCAATCAGGAAGAGCAGCTCTGCTACAAAGAGACTGATGCAAAGGTTCTTGTGGATGGTGTTACGGTCACTCTGGAGCCCGCGGAAAAAGCAAAATGTGAAGATGCAAATCAGGAGACAAACAAGCGACAGCAAAATTCCAACCCACGTGATCACATCCAGAAGGAGGTCATGGACCGCATCACTGTGCTGGAAACACAACGAAAAAGCCATAAGTTGCACTTATGCATAACCAATTACAAAGTTTTATAAGGGCCTGGATTCAGAAAGCATGATAGTAATAATGCACAAAATACCCTCCATACCCACAACGAATAAAGTAACTTAATGATTTGGGTTTTCTCTTCCACAGATAGAGCATTTTATCTTTTCTGTGAGGTGTAAATCAGTTTGATATTCAGAGATGCCAATAGTGTTTGCTTCTTTCTCAGCTACAAACATTTTCAGAATATAAGTAGTTAAAGCAGACCGACTTAATTCTGGCCAAAGATTTCGAGGTAAAACATTTTATTTTTTTAAATTTGTATCACTTTTTTGGACTAATTTTCAGACCATCTACACTAGGAAACACTATTTAAAATTTTAAGTTTTATACTTGGGGAAGTTGTATCTCAACTAATTTTTGAATCATCTAAGGATTTTTAAAATTAAAAATGCAATTCCTTTGTCCTATAAATCTTGTATCATAATTTCCAAGGTTGTGTTATGTAAGTATGTATTGTCATAAAGATCCCCAGGGAATTCTGATGAATAGCCACACATGTGTACCATTTATTTTTGGGAAGATCTAAAAGAATGAGGATATTCATTGGATTTATATTCATATTGAATGGCTTAGAGACATCAGCAAGTTTGATCTTTGAAAGATTTTGCATGAATAGAGCCTGTTATACATTGACAGAAAATAAATATTCAGAATTGCTATACTAAAGTGGCATATAGCAGACAATAGAGCTAAGAAACAAGAAAAAGTTCGTGAACTGTACTGAAACATCATGTTTGGGTTCTATTAAAATAGTAGGGGAAGCTCTGTGTCTGCCATGTTCCTTGGTTGTCAATTACTTCATTTCTGTCCTTGCTTTAAGATTCAGAACTCTTATTTCCACCTTGAGATATTTTGTCCCTACCCTAAAAAAACTTCTGTGAAACTTTAGAATTTATAGAGGCCCAACAAATAAGTATATCAAGATGTTGAGAAAAGTTGAGAAATTGTCTATGACTGTCAATTCTTTTCCTTCAAGGTTTTTTGAAGAGCCCTAAATACCTAACTTCTATCAGTAGCAGAATGGATAAATGATTGGGTAAAAGGCTAATTTGTACAATGATATTTTAAAGAGTAGTAGAAAATCAGTGTACTATATTTAAAGTCACAAACATGGATAATACACAAAAATCTAATTTTTTTTTTTTTTTTTAAAAGCAAGCATCAAAAGGATCTACACACTATGACACCATTTTTGTAAAATTTTAAAAGATGAAAATCAGGCCGGGCACAGTGGCTCATGCCTGTAATCCCAGCACTTTGGGAGGCCAAGGCGAGTGGATCATGAGGTCAGGAGATCAAGACCATCCTGGCTAACATGGTGAAACCCCATCTCTACCAAAAATACAAAAAATTGACCAAGCGTGGTGGCGGGCGCCTGTAGTCCCAGCTACTCGGGAGGCTGAGGCAGGAGAATAGGGTTAACCCAGGAGGCAGAGCTTGCAGTGAGCCAAGATCGTGCCACTGCACTCCAGCCTGGGTGACAGAGCGAGACTCTGTCAAAAAACAAACAAAAAAAAGATGAAAAATCAATGGCATTGACTTTTATGAATATACGTAAAATTGGTAAAAGTATAAACATTACATGGAAAAATTCTGACAACAAAGAGTTGTCTTTCTAAGTGATGCCTTTTTGAGCTATATAGATCATACACACTGACTTTTGTTTTAGGATGGAAGTCGTCACATTTAGTTAGCTTCCACACTAAGCCCAATTTTAACCTATATAAATGTTCAGGTTTTTCAAATACTGCATGTTCTCACGTATAATCAGGAGCTAAACACTGAGTATTCATGGACATAAAGATGGCCACAACAGAAACTTGGAGCTACCAGAGGTGGGAGGTAGGGAGGGGGGCAATGGTAGAAAACTTATTGGGCACTATGTTCACTCAATACCTGGGTAATGGTATCATTCGTATCCCAAACTTTAGCATCACAGAATACACTGATGTAACAAACCTGCCATGTACCCGATGAATCTAAAATAAATGTTGAAAAAAATGGATTTTAAATGAGGACATTTGAAAAACATATATCCAGATTTTCTTCTTCTTTTTTTTAACTTCATCCTTTCAAAAATTTTTCTGGATGTGGAAATTCTTAGAAGTGAGCCACCATGCTGTAATCTGAATCATAGCATTCCTCATACTGCCAGATATGACTTCACAGTTGTTATTTGATAAAGACCTCCACTAGAATACTGTCAATGAAACAGTTTCGAAATATTCCTGCATACCTCTTGATATATTTCTCAGAAGGAGCTCAGGTCATGAAAGAAAACCACATGAAATTTTGCTTTAACTGCTTTGTTCTCTGGGGGATACTACCAAAGCAGTGCTGGGTCTGCGGTAGCTTAAATTACTTTTAGTGTTTGAGAATGGAGAGTGGTTAGTGCTACCTGGTTCCCTGAATAGACAGCTATTTGCTCTCTTCTTTGATTCAAAGGAAAGATGCTGTGATTTGAGAATCAAGTACCAACGTTTAGCACAGCAGTCTTTCATAATGGAAAAATGGCAGGCATAACACCCTCTCAAATGTATCCAAAAGACCTAAAACACCCTTTTGAAAAAAAAGAAAAAAAAAAAAAAAAAAAGAAGAAGAACAAGAACAAGCAAAAATGATAAGAAACCAAAGAACTCCCACTTTTATCTGGGTAGATGCATTATTAGAAATTTATTTATTTTACTCAGTGCCTTAGTAGGCTCTTCAAAAACCCCATGCAGAGTTACTAAGAGAAGAATATCAGATCTTGAAATGTCAGTAGCAAAAATTTGTAGCACTCAAATATAGAACAAACAAGTCTAGTCAATAAGTCACCTTTTAGTTATGACTATTTAGCCAGGAAAACATCAACACCAACCACCTATATGTCCATGATACTGGGAGGGCAGCACTCATCAAAGACAACTCAATACTTGAATTTTACCAGTAACATGAACAGGAAAGAACAATGGTGTATTAGTCCATTCTCACGCTGCTGATAAAGACATACACAAGACTGGGTTTATAAAGAAAAGAGGTTTAACGGACTCACAGTTCCACTTGCAGGCCTCACAATCATGGCAGAAGGTGAAGGGGGAGCAAGACACGTCTTACAAGGCAGCAGGCAAGAGGAAGTTTGTGCAGGGGAACTCCCATTTACAAAACCATCAGATCTCATCAGACTTAATCACTACCATGAGAAGAGTATGGGGGAACCACCCTCATTATTCAATTATCTCCACCTGGCCCCAACCTTGACACATGGGGATTATTGCAATTTAAGGTGGTATTTGGGTTGGGACACAGTCAAACCATATCAAGTGGACACTGAATGTAAATAACAGATGTAAATATGAAAAGGCTTGTTTATAATTAATAGTCTGCCATAATAGAACTTCTAGGAAGGAGGTCCATGCATGGAAAAAAGCAAACTCCTTTCAAGAGGACAACCCCTTGAATTAAACTCCTAGGTATAGTTGTACCAATGTGATAATGGCACAAGGATTCCTTTCTGAGATTACATGTTTGTGAACACTACATAACTCAATCACCTATAAGACAAACTATATACCATTATGTGCCTTGAGAGCAGGCATTATATCAATTTTATTAATATTACATCCTAGCACCTAGTACTGTGCTTAACATTAAAACAATCTATAAAAATATTTGGTTTTGAATGATTATATTCCCACTTCTATTAGGCTAAATGCCTTAGAGCTGAACCCTCTCATATCAGTACAGCTTTAGCACCCATTTAATCTCCACTTGGATATTTAATAAGATATCAAATATTATATGTCCAAAACAGCTCCTGATCTTATCCTATTCTGCCCTCCTGGCTTCAATCTGCTCTTCCTTCTGTTTTCCTCATTTTAGCAAATAGCAACTTCATTCTTGAAAATGTTTTGTTCAAAAACTCAGGAATTATATTGACTCCTTTATTTCCTTCACACACTACATTTAATCCAACAGGAAATCTTATAGGTCTTACCCACTAAGCCTGCCAGGTTCTTATCTCAACTGCACCAACTTGATTGGAGCCATCTGATTTTTTATGAAGAGCCTCTTAATTGATTCTTAACTGATCTCCCTACTTTGGCCCTAATCCCACTTCTCTCTATATTTAGCAGAGCAGAGAGATTCTTTTTATATATAAGTCATACAACATTGCTCCTCTAATCAAAGCCTCCAATGGCTCCCACTCAATGAAAATAGAACTGAGTCTTTACAAAAGACTTACATAGCCCTAATAACTGCACCCCTGTGACATCATTTTCTATTCTTCCCTTCCTTCAGTTCATTCCACTTCCATTGGCCTGCTCTGTTCTTCCAATGGGTGAGAGATATTCCAGTCCCATGGCCTTTGCATCTGATGCTCCTTTGGCCTGGAATACTCTTCCAAAAGATATCTGCATGGCTTACTTGCCACCCTTCTTTTACTATTTATTCAAATGTCACCTTCCCACAGAGGGTTTTTTCTGAGTCTTCCTATCTAAAATTACAGACCCGTTTTCCGTATTCTGACTCTATTACTTTTCTTGTGTTATTTTCACCTTACTCCTTATCACTTATGTAAACTATATATTTTAATAATTTTTTCTACTTATTTTCTGTGCCCTTCCCAACCAGAAAGAAAGCTCAAAGAGAGTAAGTTGTTTCATCTCTTCTGATTACCACTCCTCCAGGTCCTGGAGAAATAGGTGGTATACAGTAGCTGCACAATTAACGCATTGATTGAATAAATGACCTCTCTTTAATCATCCCTCTCTTCTACAATGGATTTTTATTCAAACTACAAGTTGTATCATGCTGCCCACTAAACAGTCCTTGGGACTCTTCCTCTTAAATCATCAGCTCTAAAATGTTGAGTAAAAGATAAAGAAAATTAGAGCTAGAAAATAAGAAGGTTGTTACATCATAATACCTTAAGATATCCTAT